ACGGGTTCTTGGTAATAAATCCATACATCAGATTTTGTGGTCCCAGACATTTCAGTGTATCGAAAAAAGCAGCACCCGAAAGAGGTAACTGCGAATCGTCATGACTTTCGAACGAAATTGTTTCGTTACCCAACTGAACTAGTACACGTGGACACCGTGGTGACGGAAATGACACTTCGTAGAGCTAAACAACATATTTTGACTAGAAGAAAAATCGGTTTGACTTATAAAATATTTCATCTGTGGAACAAAGCAATATTAACGAAGATATAGTCTGAGATGCCAGTTCATTTAATTTGTAATATCGGATAGCATAAAAAAGTACAAAATTCTCCATAGTTTACAAAAAGAAAAAAAAAATGCAGCAGTGAAACAAAAACTCACAAGGTGCGATATATAACGTTCCACGGGAACACTATGTGCACCTGAGAGAGATATGCGATGAAGGTAAAACAGGAACCGCTTAAATGCGTTGAAAAATGGATATTTGGATATGATACAAATTGACATGTTGCTGTGGAATGTCATCTGAATTAATTTTTAATATTTTTCATGTAAATCAAATCGTAAACGACAAGAAACCCTGAAGAAGAAAATTAAAGTTAGAAAAAACCTGTTCAGCTGGATCATTGGTATTGGAAGAATCTTCTACCGTCCCGCGCGTAACTGTTTCATTTACTAGCTCCAATTTTTCCATCTGTTCCATGCTAAGTGGCTTTGTGTAAGGCTCATAAAAGGTAACTGATGAGCCATAAAGTTTACTTCCATCCTGAATATTTATGAGAATTAATTGGAAAAGTCAACTGACATCAATAGATTTAAAACACAGCCAAGAAATACAAAATACTTATTCACTGATATCACGATCAATCTCATCAAAATCAACCAAGTGGAAATCTCAGATAGACAAGTGAAAAAATTCAAAAAGAAAAAAAAAAGCAAAGAAACACACCTGGTCGGTTAGAACGAAAGTAGAGAATGATTTATCCGGTGGTTGACACCTTGCTGGCCAACATTCGATTAAAGCACCAACTGGAAGGCAAAACATTGGTATATTCTGAGCCAACGTAAATTTGTTATCTAAAGGAAAATGATCCAAAACTGCTGGTTTATAAGCTATTCGTTTCGATGCTCCCTGTGATTTTTTGTAGCACAAAAATACATCAGAACCAACCATGCCCTGAAACTTACAAGCATTCAGTAATATCAACTTTTTACTGAACTTTTCAGTGTTCTAAATCATGCTTTACAATAAGAAAAAATATGAAGTGATAGGAAGGCGTGATAATTGCGTTAAGGAAAGATCTTTTTATTTTTATGGAAGTTCTTGGAAAAGCAATAATTGAAGTTTCAAAATTACATTTTTTTTTTCTTAAGCAATTACTAATTTCACGCAATGCAGAAGGACACTCCAACCTTGTTCAAATTTTTTGGAATTTTATAATACGTATGTGGAGCTGTCTCTCCTTTATTTGCCAAAATGACACAGATGTGAGTAACAACAAGTTGGCTTGGTGCACTATTGGCTTGTGCACGTCGATATGTCAGGAAAACACCTTAAATGAAAGATGGAAGTAAATTAGTGCAAATTTAGTTGAACCTACTAACTATTAAAGAAAAGAATGATTTCAAGAATCGATACCTGGTGAGGCATTGTTAACATTGGCAGAACGGCCGAAAGGAGTCGTCAATACGGTGTTCGAGTCAAGCATTGGCTTTTCTCCGCGACCCTCGTCCAGCACACCTGAATACAGAAGTTAAAATCAATCAGACAAAAGTTACAGCAAACCACTGAGTATATCATAAACTAACCGATATCAACCAACGGTGGCTTATGATATCCTCGTCGGAAACATAAAAAGACTGAGGGGGTTCGTAATGAACCGTGATTCAAATCAGCTGCGTATCCCATTGGCGTACTTGTGATACGCTCAAATCCATCTGGGACCTGGAAAAGATAACATGAAGGTGGTGATTACAGTATATTTCGACTTCAAAAGAATAAAATGGATACAGGAATACCGTTTCGCCTAGACCGGGGAAGATCACACAGATATCAGTAATTGGGGCTAAGGGAGCTGAGTTTCGGCATCCACACTCCTGAGCTGTAGGTACCAGATCTTCAGCACCATCTTCCAAGCCAACGATAACGAAATATTCAAAAAGTCTTCTACACTCTCCCATCCAAATTATTCTGAAATCAAAGTACATTATCAAAAATCCATTCACAGAAAAATAGAACATTAGTAGCGACGAACGAGCATGCTTTCCTGAAAGCAATAATGCATCCTTTTTTTCGAACCAGCTTTATTGATGCATATATTCAAATATGTAATTGATGAATTTAAGACAGCGACCATGAAATACCTTACACAAGTCAAACGACAACTTCGAACTAATTAGAAGCTGTCGTTAAAGCTTCGTCTTCAAGTAAAATCATGCCTCCTCAGTGGGATCAAATGTTTTCATTGGTGACTTCCCTCACTTACGTGACGTCCCGTGTGTTAGATTTGTAATTCAAGCTTGAAGAACGCGTTTCATTTCTGGATTATGAAGTGTACCTGGGCAAATTATAGACATTTCACAGCCGTTCTCCGAAATGCTTGAGATTCTGAAAAGGCGGGTCAATATCGCGCACGCACGTCGCACACGTCATATTTTATACGGACACCAAAATATCCCGAAGCCAACTGATAGTCAAACTGAAGAGTAAGTTAACTTTTTGATGAATGGAAAATTCTGTGTGAATACTTGATGGAAAAAGTATTTGTGAACTTGCACCCATTCTTGGAATATGAAGCGTTTAAATTATGTTTATGGGAATTGCATAGAAGGAAAACTATGACTTGTTTCAGAATGCAAAGGAAGGTTATTGAGCAGGAAAAAATCATGCACGAAAGTATTGTTAATGGTCGGAAGGTATTATGGAGTAATGCATCTGACTACTTAAAGGTATTAAAATAAATACATGGAGTGGTAGGAAAGTATTTAGCATTATAAACACTACGTTTTTCCGAAGTTCTGAAAATTATCCAAACGTATTGGAACTTAGAAGATGTCTACTTCGACAAGTAAGCTCTTCATGATTTTCAGACGAACAAAGCACATGAACAGTTACGTAAAGTGCTAACTGCCTGTGCCATAATATTGGCGATAAATGTATTCTTGTTTATCCAAGCTGGAAAGGACTTAGAGCGACGAAGGAAAGGAAACATGAGTGAGCGTGAAATGCAACGTAAAAAATTGAATTTATCAGGCGAAGAAAGGCATAAAATTGGTAAACCGTTTGTTGTTAATTAAGGATATCGATTACTTATCGATGGTAGCGCCTTGTTCAAGATTTATCGATATACATATATTGTGGTTTGGTTCGCGATTAACTTCTTTGTGAGTATTTTCTGAATTCCGAACGTATTGGAACTTAGCAGATGTCCACTTCGACAAGTAAATTCTGAAAATTTTTCATAGTTAGTAGACTAGTTCACAGCACACAACGTGAAATTTTAAGCTTTTTTTTTTAAAGTTTCCATTTGTTATAATTTAAATTTGTGAGCCTTTATTCTCTGCATCTAATTAGCGACTGATCCTTGGTTGTTTTCTTTAAAAAAAAAGAAGAAAAAAGAAGAGATAATTTATTTCAAATATGGACTGATAAATTGGTCTGGTTACATTGATTTTAATGTTTGAGCTTTCATTAATCGATTTTTTCTTTTGTTTTGTCTATGAATTGGTTTACGCCCTGATTTGCTTGGAGCATTTTGTGAAATGGAACACGCAAAGGGACTGAATGAAAAACCCAAATTCTAAAACGTTTTAGAAAGTGCTTGAAATGCATTCATTTTTAATTTAGTACGTGAGGGGAGTTTTTTGGCTAAAGAATGGAAGAGTTTTTGCACAAATTGAATAGACAAGCACTATTATTGGAAGTTTCTGAGATACTGAATTATTAAAGTGGGACAAACCATTGTCTCATAATTTGTGGTGTTCCTTAAGCTTTTTGTTGAAAATGACAAATATTTTAGGAAAAATTATAAATTGTACCAAGCAAGTTATGCTTTGTGTGCCGTAATTATGCATTGTAATTTTTATGTTCTACTTTAAAATTTTTCAGTTCATATTAAATGCCTCTCCAGGTAAATAGCGAACTTCTTTAGCATTTGAGGATTGTCCTAGTTCACTTAACTTTTTAAAGGAACGTGATGAATTCGTTATACATGAACTGGTAATTTTGAAAGTGTCACAGAAAGGATTATATGATTATCAAAAGCGAAGTTATACAGTACTTTTATGATCAGCTTCAAGGGCTTTTTTTTTAGTAACACACTGTCTTCGACATACCTGATCATCCTCTGTCGTATCTTCATTTGCTTTGAACCTAATTTATCTTATTCTGTTTTATGGTTGGCTCCTGATGAAGGGAACTGATAATAGTAAAGAAGAAACAAAGAACAGTTTATAAACATATAACTCAAGTTTACTAATTTGATGGTTCTCGTCGAATATATCTTATTGTTTGCTTTTATGAACAATAAAAGTGTTAGTGGTACTTGTTGTGGTGTATGAAATATAAATGCGCGGTATGAATTTCTCCGTGACCATTTGTTGCTCACATCTCCTCAAGTCCTTCAGTGTTATACCCAGTGATGCTAACCGTTAATCCTAATTTGCAACACTTTACTAGCAACCGTGAACTACCAGCCGGAAATGTAGGTTTTCGCTCAATTAGTTGAAGTGTTTGCGTCGAACAATGCTGTTGTAGACGGAATAGTCTAAAAAATTTGCGTCTTGTGGGGACTTATTGCGGCTTGTGAGTCCTGTGGGAGTGCAGATTTCAACTGATGGGATCGTTATGGTTGTTGTCTTGAGTAGTTTTATTTTGGACAGTTTGGTTTGAAGTCTGAAAGCCCTTAACCTTCGGACCCGTATGTTGAGGGGATTGAAAGTTTTTTTAGAAAATTTAGTTTGTTGCAGATTCTTCTTTGATTTGAAGACAAAGGAAAATGACCGAAGGGAACGTGATCAGTGGGAATGATAGCATACGAATTGTCTCCAATTTCCTCTTGCATTCTCCTCCTGGAGAGTTTAATGAGGTTTTTATTGGATTTTAATTTTTTACTTAACCTGACTTCGAAAATATATGCCCTATCAGTCTCATTACATAAGCTGTAATGTTTTCATTGCTGCCCTTCCTTTTTTTTTTTTTTTTTCACAATTAAACAAATGAACTTGGTGACTGATACGTCTCTTGTAAATTTTTTTCCGAAAAAAAAAAGTGATGACACAGATGCATAATGCACTGCACTGAGCATCGCAATATTACGGCGAACATTTATCTTATAAAACGAATATATCTAGTTCTTCAGTTATTAAACACACAAAAAATTTAAGCCTCACGCTACTTTGAAAGCCTCATCAGAACTGTCTTTTGTCATTTGAAATGTAGGAAAACTAAGGGCAGCAATGAAAACATTACAGCTTATGTAATGAGACTGATAGGGCACTTGGGTCACAGTGCACTATTGCGCTTAATTGTAGCACTTATCTTATGAGTAGTTCTTGTGGGCTTTAATTAGCTGTTAGGCAGCGATATTGCTGCATTCTATACGAGGATTACTGAAATACGTTCCTCTGTGTTTCGGCAGTCTTTGAACATATTCTTTATGGCATTCTCGTTAGGTTTGTATGCTGTTCAGAGTTTCTAAGATTTACTTGAGTTAAAAGAAAATTTTGATACTTGCCAGGTAAGAAAATCATATAGTTTGTTGCATAGGTTTTTAACGATGTGCGTATGTTGCTGAACAACGATAACCTATTGAAAGATGGCTGTGCTGTGATATTTGCACAATACAATAAGGAACAATTCATCCCTGTTAAATTGGAAAGTGTTGATAGACAGGTACCACACACATTAGTTTATGAAATTGGAAACCTAGTTTTCCTTTACTTTAGTGTTCGGTGCGGAGACTCAAACTTTTAGAAGCGAAGAACTTAATTTTCGGAATTTAATGTAATTTTTTTCGGTTACCATTGCATCTTGTGAAAATTAATCCTACTTAATATGCTGCACTATATTTCACATTTCGGTGAGGTACGTTTTAGAGTACTAAGAAATCTTTTAAGGGTGTTGGAGGTTTAGTTGGGGAACATTGCACAAAAAAAAAAAAAAAAAAAACTGTGTAAAATATTCATGTGCTTTTGGTTTCAGACTTTAATCACACCATTCAATGAAATGCCGAATGGCCGATTTTATGATCCTAGATCAAGAAATTCATTCAAATATGAGCATTTACGGAAAGAAGCTACCGATATTCAAATTGAAAATGCAAATGATGGGAGTTCTGAGACTTGGCGGAAAGCAGTACAAGAAGTTTGTTATCTGCACTTTATGTAGCTGGTTTCGTTCTTGTTACAATAATCTTTAGGTTATTTGGTAATTCACTAAATATATCAGGAAATTGCTGAAATAAGCGTAGGTTAAGTTTTCGTGCAATTTTAGAAATTAAAAAATATTCGAAAATCTGAGGTAATATGAACAACACATGGACTCGAAAATTTTCGCGGTGTTCTTTCAAACAAGTTTTTTGCGTTGTAAAGATTGCAACTGATTATTCAGGAAGCGGACAAATACATTGACAGCCATTACGAAGAAACAGGTATAGCAGCGGTATTTGTGAACAACGGCTCACTGACGTTGTGTATTGAAAGTCATCGGTATCAACCAAAGAATTTCTGGTGAAATACTATCATTGATTATTTTGCTGTATAGTTAGTGAAATTGCCACTTAGTTCAAGAATATCATAAATTTCAAGTTTATTATTAGTGCTAACTACTCAATGAAGAATAATACGCTAGGAGTTATCAACACTAATTCTACATTTCATTATACTGCTAGGTTTTTTCTGCACATATAATGAGAAGTAGAACACAGAAAGAATCAATCTGTAATGGTAGGATTCATAACTAGGTACTTTACTTGTGTACTTTGAGTTACCTGCTTTAATTGCGGTAGGAATGGGCGATGGCGTTCACAGTGGACAATACCTATTGCGGACGGCAAAAACGAACAATGTGAAATTAAAGGTATAATCAAAGTACATGTGCATTATTACGAAGACGGCAATGTTCAACTTGTATCGACAAAGGAAACATCTGCCAAAATTACATATACTGTTAGTTTTTATAAATCTATTTTGAGTGTTGTTTTTATGGAAGAAAGAGGAAAAAGAAGTAAGACAGTTGCAGAATAAATTTTCAGGCTGACTTCGCGCAAACTGCAAAAGATGTGTTTAGAATAATTTGGGATGAAGAGTCGAAGTATCAGGCAAGTTCATTTGTTTTAATAATGACTATTAAATAGTAAGACTGCGAAGAAACTTGAAGTTTGAAGGACTTCTGTTAAAATGATGTTTCGTACATCCCTTGCAGGATGCAGTCCAAGAAAATTACCAACAAATGTCTGCCACAACATTCAAAGCCCTACGACGTCAATTGCCCGTAACGGGTGTAAAATTTGATTGGAACAATACACATGCATATCGAATCAGCAAAGATTTAAAACCACAGTGATTATTTGTCGATGGAGAAAGGTTTTTTTTTTTTTCTTTTGCAATTTTTAGTATTTAAAAAGCATGTATTTAAAGACTTAATTTTAATGTATCTCTATAATAATAAGACATGCAAGGTGCATTTTTATGTATGTAGGCTTTCTCTGTTACATAGAATGTTTAAGTTAAAGTTTTTCGGTACTTAACCTCATATTAACGAGTTAACTCGTCATAATTTAGTGTCAATACTTTTTATAGATTCGTCTGGCTGGAAATTAAAATCGCTACATATAGACCCATTTGGTACTATTGGTTTGTCTCTATGCTACGCTTGCAAAATTTTTTCGATTGAACAGCTACACTCCTATTGGTTTTAGATCAATAAATAAGCTACTTCGAGACTTATTGAATAAAAGCTTTAATTCAAAGTCCGTTGTAGTTATCTTTTGTTTTCTTCCTTTGTTAAACCTCATTTATACATAAATCTGGCTTGTGTAATCTTCCCTGAAAATGCTGACTTATTGGCAAACAGGTATTTGGCAAACACTCAGGTCTCCTGAAAATATTAGGTTTTACTACATTAAATTTTATTTAGTTCTGCCTTTGTTAGGGTATTTGTTTACCCACTATAATTTTCAGAAAATATCAGTTTTAATCGTACCGCTTGTATGCGCATTACTTATACTTTCATTAACTGGAGTTATGTATCTCAAGTGATTTTACCTTATTTCTCTCTAGATTTTGTTTGATATGGCTTATGACCGTTTGTTTGGACTACTGTCGGATATTTTTTATTGATTTTCATGGTAATGATGTTCATTAAAAAATTTGTATTTCGAGAACTTCACAGGACTGCATTTTGCGGCGAATTTTAAAGTTCATAGGACACGGGATAAGTAACAAGGCAAAATTACGTACCTTATTTCTCTTGAGCAGGATGCTTGAATATCAAGCTTTTCAGCAAGCATGCTTTTGAAGTCGTTTCAAGGAACGCAAATCGATGATTCTTGTGCACTCGCTCCTGAAATGATTTTAGTGGAGCATTATCGTACCAAGCTCTCAGGATTTTGTAAAGTTACAGTGCATATAGTATCCCTTGAACTTGTAATGCCTTGCTACACTTATTTAGTTATTCATGAGGATAATATACAAGACACTTCTTATGTTTCGCAAGTTAGAACAGTGTGCTTTTAAACGAGTGTTTAATTTCACAGCTGTATTACTTGGGTTCGCAGATGTTCTCCAACTGTTTTCAGGAAAAAGTATTCTGATATCTTGCAACGGTATAGGCCATATCTCATTTCACATAGTGTATTTAGGTATGCAGTGAAGTGAGTGTTTCAAAGGGTTTTAAAGGTTCAAATATGTTAGACATGGAAACTAAGGCTAATCGGAGAAGGATAAAATTCTCAAAGCTGACGTAATCTAAATTCTTTCTTATCGATGGATGACCATCAAACGTTACAATATGAATATCTTCAGCAGCAATCTTCTTCCAGAAATTATTTCATGGCTGGTTGACAAGTTGTCTTTTTACGAGACCCGAAAAGATGGCTGAATTAAGTAATTCAAAGATCTGATATCAAAAGGAGCTAAAATAAAGTCATTGCTCAAGATTTTGAATTTTGGCAAAGAAGAATAAGATTACTTCATGCAATACATGTTGTTGAAGAACTTTACAGTCCAACAACGTATACCTTTTTAAGAAAGTTCAAGTGACAATATTCTCATGAAAATAGTATTTAAAATTAGTTAAACAAGTCTCCTGAAGTTATCCCAACGTCTAATTTTTGCTTGTAGTGATTTGTGACTTCAAAATTTCCCTCTAATAAAGGAAGTCCACGCGTATAAAAAGTCTCACGCAATTTTAGATTAGCGATTTCAGTAATGCAGTACGTTTCGTGATATTGAACATGGGAAATTTGTCTTAGTGCATGGATGAGAGGTTTTAATTGTAGCTTTTTAATGGTGATATGTTCATGTGCTTATTAAGGATACTTAAGTTTATTGAGACCAACTCATTCTACCCATCAGTAACTGCCACCTTCCTCCTCTGGAAGCATGTTAAAAATCACTTGAGGCCAAGATCAAGTGCTGCATGTGGTAGATAAATGTTTCGTCTTCCTGTGCACTAACTGCGTCTTTTTATGTTTGTAAAGATATAGGAGATCGATGGTGTAAAAGTGAACAGACATATGTTAAGCGATACTTCTATCTGTTGTTGCATTCTATTCTTGACTGTTACAAGTAATGCCATTTATCCTCAACGATATTTTCAAAAAACATTGTTAATAGAACCACAGGGAAATTCATACATTTCGAACTAAACTATTTGTTACGTTGGATGGATTAATTATAACCTGTATAATGCATTCGCCCTCGAAGTATCTCAGATTTTCTCCATTTGTTTACATTTTTAGATAATTTATTTTAGATAATTTATTTTATTAGCTCCTCCTCTCCATATCTTTCTGTCGTATTTTGTTGCTTTGTATCCTTCTAATCAATGTTAACATTAAAACATGCAACAACCTTACAGTAGTGTTTTATTTGATAGATCGCAATATATTAAGTTCTTGCACCAAAATATCCAATTTTCGCTCTAAAATCAAAATTTTGATGACCAGTAAGGCACTTAAATTCGTACCCAAGAAGTTCTTTCGTTGAAAATTCTCATTTAAGCATGGATTTAGATGCAAACTTAATTAGATAATGAATCTAACTATGTTAGTAGTGCTGTCTAGAGCATTTGTAACACATAGTATTGCTTAATTATGTGTTTTTGATAAAAACAAAGAGCACCATACCAACACTTCAGTTTCCTCACGGGAAGAAATACACCATGTATTCTAGCGATAGTGATACCTTCCAAGGCTACCGATGAATATGGATAAATGACTGATTTAGGCCTCTTTACACCTATTCCTGTCTCTTTCATACACTCCAGTGTCTCGAACTGGGGAGGAATTTGAAGCCAAGATTATCCATATCGCTTGTACAGATACTTATAAACAGTACTTACTTATAATTTTCGTGCGACATCCTGACTTGAACCAATTCAGTAATGAAACCCCGTCCAACGTCCAATGCTGTAATGACTATACCACCAAGTGGGTTAAGATTTTGCACAAAATACGTGTTATATATAGTCAACGTTGGGACGATATGAAAAGTTGGGTTCATGTAGAAGTATGGCGTATGTCCTTGCGTCATAGGATTTTCTTCTCAAGTTCTGAATTGAAGTGTTCTAATCAGGAGTGATAAGAAAGTTTTGCTCGGGAGCATCTCTTTGTAGACTCATGAAGTAGATATGCTACAAGTCGAGACTTGACGCAGTAATAGATTCGGCTGTGTTCAACCTGACATTCCATTTCTGTAGCAAATTTGGTTTTATTTGATTGATTAGTATGTCTAGAACGGCGATCCTATAGGATAAAGAGAAGGTACTAGTTTGATTGCAGCACATTGATTTGAGGATGCTTATTTTTTAAAACTAATGTCGGTCTGAGTGCAGAATTGCGACAAGACTCTTGCCCTGAACTAAAGGTGCTGAATATGTTTCTTTCGGAGTGTATTACAATAATTATTGAAAATTTTCATTCCTTTAGTCATCGAACTAGGGCAAGAAATTGGAACAATGTCTTTTAAACTTTATTACTAAATAGATGTTAAATGTGGTAAGAAAGTATCCAAGCTCTATGTTATCTTCGAACGCTGTAGGGTCTGTGTTGGCTTTTTTCTGTTGTTTTGTTATATGATTTGCAAGATTTCAAATCTTTTCGTATAAATAATTTGTGTTTTGGATAGTTTGGACTTACATGCTTTTTTTCCTCAGAAGTATTTTGTTGCTCTAAAATATTTGTTAATTAAGAAATACAGCATCGAGTTAGGGTTAGATTTGGAAGTATTTTAAATTTGATGTACTGCCCATTTGAATTCGTTATGTTTTTGTAGATTGTGCAGTTCTGTAAGCGATGCGTGAGTATAAAATTGTTGTACTGGGAAGTGGTGGTGTTGGAAAAAGTGCTTTGGTAAGTTAAGTTCTCGAAAAATTTTTATAAGTTTGTGGATACTTTGAATTTCGTAAATTAGCAATTTAAATTCATTCTTTATAGACCGTGCAGTTTGTGCAAGGCATATTTGTGGAAAAGTATGACCCAACAATTGAGGACAGTTATCGAAAACAAGTAGAAGTTGATGGTCAGCAGTGTATGCTTGAAATTCTGGATACTGCTGGCACTGTTAGTTCTTATGTTCCTGTTTCTTAGGATTGGCTGGGTTGAAATTATTACGTATCGTTTGAAGCTTTCATGTTGTGACAAACAATTTCAAAAATGAACAAGTTGTTTTAGGAGCAGTTCACAGCCATGCGTGATTTGTATATGAAAAATGGTCAAGGCTTTATCTTGGTTTACTCCATTACGGCACAGACCACTTTTAGCGACCTTACAGATTTAAGGGAACAAATCTTGCGTGTGAAGGATACAGAGGAAGTCAGTTCTGCATATTTGGTTATATTTGAATAATATATATAGGAATGCTATCAGGTACTGAGATGGTAGGATATTTAGCAGTATTTGCATTATTATATTCAATTTTACAGTACCTCCGCAATTGACTTGAACCTTTGAATTATGTTGCAGCACTCCCAAAGTATAGTTGTTCTTGAACTATTTTCTCTGCATGCTTCAGGTACCAATGATACTTGTTGGAAATAAATGTGATCTAGAAGATGAGCGCGTTGTGGGCAAAGACCAGGGATCTAACTTAGCACGGTCATTCAACAGTGCTTTCCTTGAAACTTCAGCTAAAGCAAAAATTAATGTTAACGAGGTAATTTTTCAGTTTTAATTAAGCATAAGCTTGTCAGATTCTTTATGGCTTTTAGAATCTACGACAATATAATCACTTTACATCTTGAGTTATTTTCACAAAATCGAAATGAGCAACTGAATTGAATGCCTGAATGTGGAGGTAAGTCAGAAAACTTGTGTTTTATTTCACAAGTTCAGTCTTGAAGCTATATTGACTTAATAAGTGGTTAATTATAAAAGAGTTGTGCAGTTATGAAAGGATTCCAAGTTAGTCATTCACAAGTAGCTTGAGTTACGTAATCATCTAGCTTATGGTTTTGTTATCGCTTTAAAAATTTTTTGGAGGTTTTCTACGATCTTGTTCGTCAAATCAATCGTCGTCATCCGGAAGTAAACAGACATCAGACAGGCTCATCAACATGTTGTTGCAACCTGATGTGATGTTCATATATTCATCGATGCTGTTTTTTTCCGAAGGTCTTCATATATTCGTCAAAATTGATACTGTTTTTTTCTGGAGAGCTTTCTGCCTTAGATAGTCAGTACTATTTATTGGACGCGCTCCCTAAATATGATACATTATATCTGTTTGCTTTGACACGTTCACCTATTATTTTTTTATCAATGGCGTGCCTTTCAAACTAGATGAATGAACACATCATCTCATTATATGAAATTGTACTTTGTTAGCTTAAACTTTTTCTTAAATTTTTGCGTGTATTGTGCTGCTTACTTTCTATCCCATGTAATGATAAGGAAGTTTGTGAGTAGTAGAAAGTGAAGGATATGCTTATGTTTTCTTATACTACTAGATTTGATTTTATCATTTACAGAAGTGTTAGTTTGATGCATTTCACATTTTTTGATGCATTGATGTTTCGGCATCGGTTTCAGATGTTTTAAATTCCTAAAATTTCGGTAGTATTTAGGACTAGTTTGAACGACATATTGCTGAATATATATATATGGCGAAGATTTTACTCTTCCTTCTTTGTATCTTTATTCTTTCCATTTACTTGTTGTGTTTCGTTAATTTATATCTTTCAAACTATTTATCGTTAAGCACTTTGTATTCCTGCAAATTATATTTGTTAACCTTATTCACACAGCAATATGCTGTTTTTGTCTTCTGTTACTAGTAAGTAGTCAGTCAAGTTGTGAATATATTGCGCTGTAACAAGATGTTTTTCTACCGTGATTTCTCTTTTCTAGTTTTCTGCAAGGCTTTTCGTTGGACTAAAAAAATCTGCCTTAATGTTATGAAGCTGTCAGTCTGCTTTCTATATTATACATGTTGTGTACGTTATGTACTGCGGAAGGATATGTATTTTCGAAATTCATTTTTTCCAGAGAAAATTGGGAAGCAGAGGGGATAAAAGTACATAGCAGCTGTTCCCAAATTTGAAGGTAGTTTGTGAGTTAGTACAGTTAGTGAATGCGTGATTTCATAATTCAAATTTGTAGGTTCTAACGGTCTTTTTTTGATTTTAAGGTAATGTATTTGATCCATTTTGGATCACATGCAAATGGTGTAATCGATTTTGCTGAGCGTCGGATTATGAAAATCAGAAGCTTAGAGGCAAGCATTGCGATGAGAGAAAAATGATTTGTTCCTTTCCCAACTTCAGTATATTTGTTAAACAGTTCGTTTATGACGTGGAATCTTTGTCTCAAATTAATCCTTCGTACTGTTCTTAAATACGTTTGTTGGAATAGTTCATAAAAAGCACAACTCATTCCTGTAGTGAGTTATGTGGTTACTTTACTGTTTTCAGATGCTTTTTTTTATAAAGATATGAAGTATTTCTGATAATGCCGAATAGTGGAGGCCGTGATTGGATTTGATCAAACTAAGTGGGAAGGTTTTCTATGCCAAGGATTTTAAGTCGGGAATGGGAAGAAATTGATATAAATGAAGCGATACTGTATAGTGGGACGCTATATCGAATCAAAAGATATCGGGATTGACCGAGCGCAGAACAACAATTTGTCACTTAAAGTGCCATTATTAGTTTTAATGAACGAGGGTCAGATTTAGCATGATGATAAATATCGTCTGCTCTTCTGCCATCTCATTGTTCAATTCAATACCCTCACCAACATCTATTAGAATCTTATCTGAAACAAATTGACGAGAAATCTATAAATTCTGCAGTTAATTTAAGATATTATTGCTGCCTCTCAATACGCAGAATAGATTATTACGGTTTTGCAAACTTGGAATGATTTAGTGATTTAAAATGTCCTTGCTATACATTGTTTTGATTAAGAAGTGCAGCTATAATTCGACACGGTAATTATGTTCCAACATTTGGAAATGCAGAGATATTATTTAGTGCTTCCAAAAACTTGTCAAGTAGAAGTGAAAGGAATAAGAAGCTGACCAGAGATTTGTTGAGAATACTAGCAAATGTCTAAATAGAAGTTTCCTGAGGAATGCTCATTCTTCAAAATTTTAAAAGTAGGGCTTTTTTAAGTATTTATTAAATTGTTAAATTAGCTGCAAAATGAAGTGATCCCTGAAACTTTTTTTTTACCTGAACTTTCTCAGATTTTGAGTTTGTCGTGGTTAAAAAATCCATAAAATTTGATTTAATCAGTTTTGCGAGAACGTTCAGTTTTTCATTTTGCTAATTATAAAAGTCACATAGATTTGAAATAAGAGCAACAGACAGACACTTGCTCCTGTCAAATTATAACACCACTTTGGCGCTTTTTATTTTCTAGTATCATGAAGGAATAATGCTGGTATTATGAGAATTTTGCTTGAACGAATTTTCAATCGACTGTGAATTGATAAACAAATTGTTTATAAGAATAATCGGTACAATTTATAAATAATTGAGAAACATGGTGATAAAGTTTACTTCTAAGAAGAATATTACTTCTGACATGGGTGTTTAAGGCTTCTTCTGAATGGCAAAATGAAGACACCTTCAGCTTGTTAGCAATTTATTCCACCATATATTATTGATGAATCCATTAAAATCATTTATTGAGTTTTTGGAGTTACAAATCGTAGTATGAAAATAACTAAATAAACAAATAAATTCAGTGTAATTAATAAACTTCGGAAATTTAATGAAATGTGAGCTGGCTGATACGGTGAAATGAAAGGGAGGGAAGGAAGAGAATTGGGGAAGAAAACAGACCAGTGGAATGAATAAGTGTGCTTACGGTGAGCGAGTAATTTATCAGATTTATCTGATCAGTAATGCCTTATAAATCATCCTCGTTATGGCAAATGAGCATCGCATCACCCGTAAGTTGCCCACGAAATGCATTAGAGCACTTCTACCATCATTCGTTCTTTCTTCCCTTTCTCCAGATCTGTCGTTATCGAACGACATGGTGATGATGTTTGAGATAGTCGTTACATCCTCGAAATGGCCTTTAATAAAATTCATTTCATTTCCTGTCTTCTCTTACCTCTTCCTCATCAATTATTATTCACTTTAACTATCTTTGTCCCCATCAACATACATCTCTCTCTTCCTTCTACTACCTGCATTCTTGTCAATTCTACAAAACTTCGTCGGCATCACTCATCAACTGTTTAATGCGCACGACTCCTACCGTAAACCTTCGAAATGTCTTTCACCATGACTATCAATTTGATTCGTAATAATCATGATATTTGTAATGAAGTTTCCACTGTCATTATTATTATCATAATCACATTAGCTATCACAACTACTATTACTGGTGAGGACGCATTGTTCTTATTGCTATCACTGTTATCACTACTATCATAATTAATGCCATTAATTACAACTACCATAATGCTAATTACCATGTATGCATGTTTTTTTTTATATTTTTCATGGAAATGATATCTCTCACACACCTGCTTTCTCGTTTTTCAGCATAAGAGAAACTGACCATTTGGTGCAAATATATTAATGCTAATACCGAAGAAAAAATATTAGCTACGAAGAAGATATGCGGATTTCGGGTAGTTTAAATATAAATTTTCAATAATTTGATTCGGTATTTTAGGACCTGAAATGTCCAGAAAGGGACAGAAATTTAGCGTTATCAGCGCAGTATGAATCTTATTTCTGTTTGCTTTACTTTTTCTTTTTTTTTCCACATCATCAAATATCGTAAAGGATGAATTAATCATGTGAAATAATCCTTGAAGTTGTTACAAATTAAAGTTATTACAATTAAAAATTTTCTCATCAATATTTTAACTCATTCTCCTTAAAAATTTATTACATTTTATATTTTATGAAAGGCCACAATATTTGTGACTTTAACAATTTCTAGAATTGAATCTGAAGTATTCTATATTGTTTCGACATTTGATTTAATATTTGTTCACAAAGGATTCTAGTTTCCATTACCTATGCAAAACAAAGATAAATCTGTTTCCAGTGAATTGATATCTTATATTATTAAATAAATCATGCCTAATTTTAGATATTAATAGCTTCTAAAAAGTTTTGAAAATGACATTAAAACGTTTTTCATTTTGTTATTTGTTTTTTTCTAGACATGAAAACTAAGACATTTTTGTCTTTCTTTTTCAAGAATATATATATTCGGCTATAGAAATGAAATTGAGATAATGGAATGATGTCAGCTTTTTGAAGCTCGGAACTTCGAAACTAGATAATTAGAAGTTTTCAGAATTTTTAGCTCTTCATAAGTTTCGAAAAACTCTAACCAAATTCCGGCGCTCATATCTTTCAATGAGCGCTGTTGATACAGTTTTGATTTGTTAAGTCTTGGCTTATCTCACTGCAACCTTTCCTGAAGAAATTATTGTTATGCAGAAATTTCGGAATCTTTCTCAAGGCAGTTTTTCATAGCCAAATTTTTTGTGGAAATTAGATTTTTATTGTATGTTCCTGTACATAAATAGATCGAAAAAGCTTCAAAATTAGAATAAAAAACTTAATTTCTTTTTTTCCACAATATAATTTAACATTAAGCAATTTGAAGACTTCCAACTTATGCTCATATTTAATTATCACAAATTCAGTAATTTTCAGTGACTGATCAAGTTCATAGCGAAAGCACATTTTGTCAGCGAATAAGGCAACATTCAATGTCACAAGCTGACGTTGAAAAGTCGGATTTAGAAAAGGGAAAAACTTTGACAAAAAAGGTGATCCACATGAAATTAAATTGTATTGAAATATTCAAAATGATGCATTTGCTAAAAATTTTTCGATTTCTTTTTCTGACTTGTTTTATGCTTATTCCCAGGTAAGCTTCAGAGTCTCATTTTCAGTTAAATAATCAAGAAATTAAAATTTGACATTTAGTTTGAACTGCTGAAAGATTTTTTCTTTATTTAGATTAATATTTATAAGATTTTTTAGTCTAACAAACCGCTGATGGAAAGAAAACGAAGAGAACGAATCAATAAATGTCTTTTTGAGATGAAACAAATGTTAGTGGATGATGTTAAAAACGGGGTTATTTTTTCCAATATTTATTGTTTTTACCGCTTTGATTTGACTTATTTCCACCATCTCATCCTTTCTGCTCTAATTTTTTGCCATTTCTCATTATATATTATACTTACTGATACTATATTTCTAATCCTTTCCATTGTTTAATATAATCAAACTTTTCTAGATTTTTGACCTAGAATTTTAAAACTCAGAGGAAACGAGCCAGAACGAAAATTTGAATAATTGTTGAGAATTTTGGAAAATGTAATGCGTATTTTTTTAAGATAATTTATAATTTCTTAACCATTTTAAGTCTCCAAGTCATTTCAAATGGGAGAAGGCAGATGTTTTGGAAATGAGTGTCGCCTATATTAGACAATTAAGAAGATGTATTGCTGCTAATAGCAGTTAGTTTCATTTTTTTTTATTTTTTTGAGAAAACGATAAATTTAAATTAGTAAAGCAGAAGGAAAACCAAAAAATCTAATTCTTTTTAATTTAGATGGTGATGAAAAAACTTACCGTAATATGAATTCGATTTCTATTTGTAATACTTTTTGAACGAATTTACATACATTGTGCACTTGGTGACGGCTTTTAAAGTATCATAATATAGATTCAAAATTTTGAGTGAGATATTTGTGTTTGATTAAAGTGACGGTGGTGTCTCTCTTCAGAAGCAAAAAAAGTCTTTTCGTTGCCTTATTTTGTGGATGGTTTCTCAAATTGTGTACGCGAAATGCAAAATTATACATTGCTAGAGAAATGGCCACTTGATTTGCGAGAATACAATAATCGTCTCACAAGTCATTTGAATGCTCGTCTACACTTGCTTATCAGTGAACCAGTCATGAAGGTAATCATAAAACTAAAAAAGTAATGCTGAGCTTGCAAGAATTCAGTAGTTTTTTGACATACTTTTCAGTTTTTTTCAGAACTTATAGCTTACTCTAGAGAAACTGTCGCAAGTTGGTCTAGCATGACAGTTGTTGATAATTCTCATTGCCTGAAGTTAAATTTAAATAACTTAATGTGTAGGGAATTTATCTGCAAAGCTTTTTTCTGGTTAAACCTGTAATATGCTCTCTAACAAACAAAGTATTGTAGTAATGCAGTGAAATCTCTGAACGATAGGAAATGGAAAACAGAACAGAGTTCATTTTGAAATGCTCAGATCGATCTCAATACGAGATATGGAAATGACAAGTTATGATCAAAATGCTTAACCGTATCACAACATTACAGCATGAGACAATGTCAGCATCGCTACTATGCGACTGCACTGGTGCGAACATAATGTATTACAACAATCATGCATACAACAATTATCAGCAAACGAAAATAATGCAGCCTTCGACATTTGAGATATTGAACCATACAACCAGGTGAATTAAAGGAGGTAGGGGTAAGGTGATAAAGAGATTATACGAACAAAGCTATGACTTTTCCACAACTATTATTATAAAAATTTCCAGTGGATTGAGTAAGTATGAAAGCCTGTCATCCTTCTGCTTTTCATGCCTACATGTAATATTAGTGACTAAAGATGTTGAACGCTGTGAACTGTATCCTATGTGAAATCGTTTTGCATAAACTGGTGGTTCCTCATCTTGAAATGATCAATATCGTCACACAATTATCACTTCAATCATGAGTTAGATATACATAGTGTCGTTCCTTAGATGAATTTTGAGTACTTTTAGATATATTGAGGCAGTCTCTTTAAACTAAGTATTGCGTTACAGGGAAGGACTATGTTAATCAAACATACACGTTTACTGAAAAATTCAATGAAGATGAAAATCAGCTGAGCGATTTTGATTTTCTTGTTTTCTTAAATTCTTTTCTTTATCTTTCTATATATACTATATTTTTTTAATATTTGAGTGTGAATTTTTTATATGAGTGGAAAAAATGAATTATTTTTTAGAAATAGAACAACAAAATGTGCCACATTATTATTCATAAAACAGGGGATCAAAGCAATAAAATATCATCAAAATACCAAAATCGCATGTGTCTGAGGAAGTAAACTTCTGCACACATCATATTTCTGGAATTTTATCACACCATAAATAAAGCTCTTAGAAACCTTTATATCACTTCTCTCGAGAACTTAAAACTTTAATGAGTCTGATTTGTAAAGTGATGGAATATTATTAAAGAAATTGCAGTTTATGACTTATGAAAAATAGAAATACATTGAGAATAGGTCAAGAAGAGTTTACTCTTTAATTCACATTTTATATTAGTTTCATTCTATCGGTCAATTTGTGACACTCTGTAAGCTAGTAACTTCATTGGTAAGAGCACAAATTTTTTGAACAGTTTCCTTTAAAATTAATAATTATACGTCGTAAGACCATACTAACGGATTTGATAATATTTTCCATTACATTTTAATGGTATGGTACCGTCGTTGCAGTAGCTTTTCCAAGAGCGTATTTAAAAATTCCTTAACCAAATTATTTCCTTAGCCAAAATCAGAAAAAGATGAAATCTCTCTCTCTCTCTCTCTATATATATATATATATATATAACGAAAACTTTTCTTTAAATACTGCTTTTTTCTATTCTTTTTTGTAATGGAAAAGCACTCTATTAATGACCAATTTTAGTGTTGGATGTATGATCGGCACTTCACGCATCAAAGCTCATTCTGAAGAGAAAATAGAAGTAAACTGCTGTGAAAAAGCATATCTGTTCCGTGACAACAAATTTAATGATCATAGTACGGCTAATGAAGAGTTCACAAAGACCAACTGTGATGGTCATAGATTATGGCGTCCATTTTAATGTTAGAATATTTTAAAACTTCTTACTCTCTTTTTAAAATTCCTCTCCATTGCTATCGTATTTATTTCTTAAGGCTATCTGAATTTTGAATAATAAATATCTATTTCAGATTTCAAGTTTCAGGCGAATTACAAAACATTTAATAAAACCGTGAAATTAAACAATTCCAAACTGCTCGAATGCAGTAAAATTTTCAAAAAATCAAGGATTCCAATGGTTTTTCAAAAAATTAAAATTTTTGGATTCCAGTGAATAAAGATCACTTATTTCTTGCTATCATTACAGTTTGTATAAATGGATATGCTTTTTTTCATATTTTATTTCATCAGAGTTTCCGTGTTGAAATTCACTAATGACATTGTCGTATAAACAGTGATGGTTCAATTCTCCACCCCACTCATATTCGTTAACGTCGTTGATACATACGTGAATAAATCTTCACCAGTTTCTGCACATTTGTCAGTTTGAAGATCTGTTTCTCTTGATTTGTGCAGTTGCCGTATTCATCGTACTTTTGCTGTGTATCAGACGAAAACTTTTAAGCACAAATAAAAATTAGTAAAAATTGAAATTGATTACTATTGCTTTTTGCTTGGAAATGTAAGATTCTTCAAATTCAGATGGCATGTATTTATTAAGTTAAAAAATTGGATGCTTGCCAGTTGAGTTTACAAAAAGAAATGAAACAGAATAAAATATCATCGGTGCAGGAAAAATTCCGATATAACATGTTTTTCCTACTATTCGAAATGTAAGTGTTGCAACTTTCAAAGTAGTCCTTGCAGGTAAATTAATTACAATTGCTTAATTTTAATTTATGCATTTCATAAAAAATGATTTTTCTTTCCTATCTTCATTTCTTCATTTTTCTTTATTTCGACTTCATTTTAGTGCAAATAAAATTTCGACTGGTTAATTAATAACAAATAATTATTCAAATAGAAATAAATGTATTCATCAAGTATCGCAGTTTGGAAAATATGCATTGTTATCACCTTATTGTTTTCCTTAAATGAGTGAAGTTTTTTTTTTTTTTTTCAGTAAAAAATTTACCAAATTATAAAATCAGATGTCCAATAAGTGAACGTAAATTATTAATTGAATTCATCGAAGTCAACAAAATGTACCAATAGCTAAAGAAGACATGAAATGTCCAGCTCCCCAGTAATTCATCACTGGATTTTGAAACTGTTGCTTAGACTTTCTAATCCAGTGATGTCCAAAACAAATTCATTTTACTTGTATTTAAGATATAGGCCGTCATCATATGAAATGTATGACACCTGCACCGCACTTTATCCCTTAGCTTTGTTAATTCCCCGATCCTCGATTTTTAAGTATTGCTTGCTACAGGGAACAAATCGATTGATTGATGCCTAATTTTAAAAATTACAAAAATTGAAACCACATTCAAATTTTTTAAAGAAACTTGCGTGAAGTTTTAATCAAAAAACCAATTGCTGTAGTGCGTTGTTAATGTAGCAGAGCATAATGGAGCGAATTGCATAAGGATTAAATTTATTTAGAACATGTTCCAATTTCAGAAATATCATAAGACAGATTACTTTCTTTCAGTTACTTTCAGTATATTCGACTCTTCCTAACAAACATTTACAAAATCATTTTGCTGACTTATAAAAAAAAAAATCTTTTATAAAAGTTCTCCGCTTTTTAAAATTGTAACTGAATCTCCGACCAAATATTATTCCTTATAACTTCTGCTGTCTAAAATTATTAGATTCATATCTGAGCTTATCTCTTCTAAAAGTCGATATAAAATTTTTGAAGTGAACTTATTCTTTGCAAAATTTTGGTTAATTAATTCTTCTCTTTAGATCATAGATACGTAACTGCTTTAGACATTTTATATTTGTTTAGGCAATTTAAAGTAAAGATCCCTCAGTGAAATCATTTATTAAGGTAAATCCTCAATCACTTGTCAAGGAAAAGGGTTATTTCAGAAATGTAGTGATGAACAGCTTACCCGTGATGGCATTACTCGTTCATCGACGAAAAATTCACAGATATTAAAAAAGAGAGAAAAGAAACATTTTCTTATGGTGTTAGGGAAAATAAGTGACTTATGTCAATGAAGACAATATCTTCTTTTGAATATTTTTGGTGATTTCTCATTTTTTAAAGAAAATGAATTTCTCCGAATTGCAATATCTGTTAAACAGTGATTACCTTGAAAATTTTTATCAAGCTTTCTTGGCATTTTTTCAAACACTTGTTTCTGAACAAAATCTATTTTAACTAGCCCAGATTATAAATTACAAAAAATGTGAAAATCCATAACTGACTATGTATAAGTAATTTGTAAATTTTTGTCATTCTAAGGAGTGAGTGAATGTGAGTAACGAGCTAAGCTTTTGTCCAAAATATTTTTTTAATGCTATGACATTGGAAGAGATGCATACTGCAGGAAATAATGGTAAAAACCTACTAAACTAAAAAAAAGGATCATGGAGCTGCAGTTATTTGTTGAAATTTGGCACCCAGATTCATGTCCAATTTATATTAAAATGATTTAATGCAACTTTTCAAAGATCATGCATGTATTCTGGGATATAAAGGAAGGTGAATAAATTAAAAAATTGTATTTTAACCTCACAGAAATATGAAACTAGGCGAGAATTAGATAAGTACTATCGAAATAAAAGAAGTGTCATAGATTTATGGAACCAGAAATATATACTTGCAGTCCATACCTTCTCAATCTTACAATTAGACATAAAACTGACCTCAAGATCATTCTCCTCATGCACAGTAATCCACCGGGAAAAATATTTCATCATTCAATTACATAAAGTTGAGGTTTAGTCATCATACTGTTATGTAAAGGTTGAAAAGTTAAGTATATGTTTTCCAAAGCAGAAATTTCAAGTAATTTTAGTCCATTAATGTCTATCAGCAACCAATTAGTTATGCGATTCAAGCAATACCTTAACTAATTAACCGGTTTAAAGACTGCCGCAAAATTTTTTTATTGCTATCATCAAATGAAATGTGATGACCGAATAATCCTGACAACCTAACTTTGTTGCGGCAGTCTTTAAAAACAACCATGTCATTTTGAAATTTTTAGTGATGATAAATCAATAATGAAAACAGTAATACTGACCGATATTGAAAAGGCATTTCTACAAATAGAACTACATCTAGAAGACAAAAATTGTACTCGATTTCTTTGGTTGCATAATTCAAACAAAGGCGTAACAGAAGAAAATATAAAATTTTCTCAGTTTAAAAGAGTTACCTTTTGGAGTAATTTCATCGCTTTTTCCACTATCAGCTACAATTAATTTTCACTTGGAGAGATATGATCACGAGTTAGCAACAGAAATAAGGAAAAATATTTATGTTAATAACATAATTTTATGTGCGAAGTGTACAGAGGATGCCTTGTTAAAGTACGAACAAACAAAACTTGAAAGAGCAGCCATGAATATTGGAGAATTTATTTCGAATGATCTAGAATTCAATGAAAGATTACCGAATACGACAAGGCTAATTCTAATAAAGATAGTTTTCTTGGTATCAACTGGATTTATGAATTGGATGTAATTCATATAATACTTAAACCATGGAATGAAAAGAAAATACCTAAAAAAATATGCAATTTGTTACTTCACATTATGACCCTCTAGGGTTTTAGTTCCCCCTCAATGATTTACACTCAAATTATTTCTTTAATTTTTATTTAGGATACAAAACAAGTGAGACCAGCCTTTAAGCTATCAGGAAGAAAAACAGTGGAAATCAATGATACAAAGTTGGCCAAAGAATATAATATATAATATACCTACCTGTAATAAACCCATCAGATTAATTAGAAATACATGTATTTTCAGATGCTTCAAATAAAGCATACACAGCAGCAGTATATGTTCTCGACATCAAAAAATGTGATAAAAATTCAACATTTCTCATTTATGCTAAATCACATATTGTCCCAATTAAACAAATTACCATACCTCGGTTGCAATTACTTTCAGTACTAATTGGAGTAAGAGCTACACAGTTTGCATTGAAGCAACTAGAATTAAAAAATATACCCTGCAACGCTTTGGTCTGATTCTAAATGCGCTCTATTTTGGATCAGAAATTATACGAGACTACTCCCTCGGTTTGTACAAAATCGAATAGAAGAGATACGAAGGGCACATTTCACTCTTCGATATACCCCAAGTGCGAACAATCCAGTGGAGGTTGCTACTAGAGGAATTTCACCAAGTAAACTTAAAAACTATCAACCGTGGTGGACAAGACCGCAGTGGCTAGAAGAAAAGTAAATGGTCACAATGGGAATTCAAATATCAAGAAGGCGATGAATTTAATAGAGAATTATGATGACTATTAGAAAGGTAAAGAAAACTTTTAAATTAGTAAAATTTCAATTCATAACTGAGAAGCGTTTTAGTAATTGGCTCGCATGTTAAGAGCTACAGTGTGGGCACTTTGGTTTATCAAATTTAGCTTCAAAACAGAACTACGTGGTTGGAAAAACTATCCACTCATAAAATTTACATGAATAAAGACGACTATGAGATAGCAGGAGGAACATTAATTTCACAAGCGCAGTCTGATGGATTAACTGAAGACCAAATTAGAATATGGAATTTATATTGTGATGAAACCGATAAATTATGGAAATCAACAGGCCTTCCTTTTAGAGAATGCGGAGTTAACAAATGAAAGTAAAATAATAAAATTTCTAATCTATTTACCAAGTCGTAATCATATTACTGAACTTATCATCAAAAAGAAACATGAAGAACCATATTATGCTGGAATTGCTCACACTCTCTGTGAATTAAGTCCAAATTTTTGGATACCAAAGGGAAAATCAACAGTTAAACGGGTTATCAATGGATGCTTTGCTTGTCGAAGATGAAGAACTAAACCATATAAATTACCACCAGTGCCAAATCTGCCGGAAACGGGAGTTAAGAAATCAAAACCTTCTCGACAGGTTGGCCTTGATTATATGGGCCCAA